TCTTTTTGGTTGACTCCCTGTGATGGTTTTCATTTGATGTCAGTGGATGCAGTAAGAAAGTTGGAAAGCTCAGGAAATTACTGACACTCTCTGGTAAATTGGTAAATTGTAACTTTGTAAGATATGTTTTCAAGATTTCAAACTGTTTTCAGAGATCAGTTCTTTTCTAAAGTCATGCTAACCTGTTTATGGTGCAGTAGTTGGATTTCTAAAACAACATAGTAAATAAATCAATTTTAATCTGGTTTTTTTCCCAAAAACCTATTCCACATAAGAACCAGTTTTTTTAGACTGAAAATTGAAAATTTTTCAACAAATATTGTACAGTAATACCGTATTTACTCAAGTACCAGGCGCACCTTTTTTCTCAAATTTCCGCAGAAAAAAAGGGGTGCACGTCATAAGGGGGTACAAATTCTTCAAGAAGTTTTAGAAAGTTATATGTGCATTATACTTAATCATAATGGAGAAATTTGGAAGAAAGTGACAACAAACCTTTTTTGTACTGAAAAAGTAGAAAATTGGTCTGATTTTTGTTAAATTCATGTCCAAAGTCAAACTTTTTGTTTCTATTTTCAAAATATTGTGGTTTTAGACTTGCTACAAATTGGGGGTGCGAGTCATACTTGGGGATAATATTTTGGCCAAATTTCCAATGGAAAAAACCCTGTGCACGCCTTACTTGAGGGCGCGTGGTACTCGAGTAAATATGGTACATAATATATATTTTTTAAACCCTCTGTTTGAATTGAAGCTCATAAAGAAAGGATTCAGGATTGGTGTTTAACAGAATGGTCTATCAATTCTTCAATTCTTTCTCCTGTTGGTCAGAGCCAACTGTAATACAGTAGTGTGTTCTCCCCAAAGGAGGCAATAAACAGTCAAACCCCAATTTAGTGCCATCATTTGTCCTGGCACAGTTTGTGGAACTAAGCAAGGGCGGCACTAAATTGAGGGTAATGTATACGGGAAAGGTTTAATTGCTAGTCTATACTTTAAGCAAAATGAGCTTATTCACATACATTTGAGGCCCCTGAGTGTTTTTATCAAAGAGAAAGCCACCAAAATGATATGAAGCTCAAATTCACCATTTTCACATTTGAGTATTTGAACATTTTTAGGAAGAAATACTATTTTATTAGATATGTATACCCACCTGTGGTTCATCTAGAAGAAGAGTAGAGACATTTCTTGAAGTTATGTTCAAGCTCAAAGTCAAGTGTCACTATATAAGCAGAGAAATTCCCAAATGTTACAAGGAAAGTTTCCATTTCATTTTAAAATTTTTCATTGAAGGAAGGTGTCATGCAACAACAAACATATTTTTTACTATTTGAACTAAATATAGATTGTTCAAATAAATTCTGAGCTTTTTGTGGGTGTTGAAATTTAATTCTCAGTGAAATCCCATTCACATTGCTAAAACAGGGCCTTAATTTTCCTCAGTTTTTGCCAGTTGATTTTTTGAGGCACCAAGTGAGTTGGTACTAAATCAGGGTTTCCCTCACAAAGACAACGGAGTGAGTAGATTTGTTTCAGGGAAATTTCTGGCACTATCTAGATGGATGGTTGACTGTAATTGTGAGACTCCTTTAAAATGCACTCATGAAAGGAGAACCCCATAAAAGTCAGTCAAAATCTTTTGCATGGCAATAACATAGAAGGTATTTCTGCAAAAATGATCTGGAATTCCAGAAAAAAAGGAATAATGGGGTTGAACTTTTATCATCACTTCCCCATGAAAAAAAAAATAAATGATTAAAATAAGGGAACAACACCTCATCCCATTCTTGTTTCTTCTCCTCATCCCTTATGATCTACACTCACGTAACCACCTTTGAGGTGGATTCGCGAGGTAAAATTTACATGTCTCACCTGACACCAAATTCAGGCACAGGTTTCTTCTTCCTGCCTTAAATTCGCCCCTTCATCACTTTTTTTTCCTCCCCTTCTTCTTATTCTTCTCCCTTCAGCTGTGTTTTCGTTTTTTTTTCAGTTACTCTCCTTCTCCTGAACTTACTAAATTCTACTCGCTTGGTTTTTTCTTTCATTTTTTAATCCCCCCCAAGCGGGCCGGAATAATAATGGGCACCGTTAACAATTTGTTCTCTGGCGGTTCGCAGCGTTTCTGGGTTCCGTCTCCTCGTCTGGACAGACAAGGGTTCTTCCCCAGTACCTTGGATTCCAGGTTCACTTCCTGGTGTTGTACAGTATACAGTCAACCCCCGTCTAATGGACTCGATTCATGCAAGGGACGAGTCTGTTATACGAAAAGTCCTTTGTTATCAGTACCCGCGGGGAGAACCCGTCCAGAACATTTAAGAAATTAAAAATTTTGAATGTATGTAATTAATCTGCAGGTGAACCTCAACAAATCTAACCTCCCTAAGTCAAATATCCCCATGAGTCAAATGTTTTTCTGGTCCCCATCTGAATCCCCTTAGAAACAATACAGTAAAAAAATACCAAGTCAAAAGCTTTTCCCCTTAAACCTCCATAAGTTGAATTTTCTGTGGCCTGTTGTCCAACATTTTCTTGAAAAAAGAAAGAAAACAAGCAATTAAACAGAAATTTATGTGTTTTAAAGGAAGTGAAAGACTTAATTGGGCAAACAAACTCCTGATGCCTTCAAGTTCAGCAGCACCTTTCAACTCATTTAAAAAGCCATTTAACCCCAAGAATATCACCATTTACATTTTTCCAAGTTTTCCAGAAAAAATGGCTTTGTATTGCAGTTCCAACCTACAAAATCCCAAATGTCCCAAAGTCTAAACCAAATTCGAATTTTTTGAAAGTCCCTTGAAATTTGACTGAGTTAGAGATAGGTTTGACTGTATTTTAAATTGAGCATTCTGGAGATGGCTTTCATATGTTTTGAAAATTGTGCTTTAGGATTTTAATTATCTATAGTCTTGAATGACAAGAATTATTTTTGCAAATGAAAGGATACTTGAATATATAGCGTATCTCATTGAATAAAAGACATATATATGGACAGTGAAAAAAAAGGTTCAATTCGATTTTTTCAGAAATAAACTTTGCCTGAATTTCATTTCGTTTCTTCAGTCAGCTGATACTAAAAAAATAATGTTCGTTTACCAGGGCTGTAAACTGGTCAATTTGATTGGCTAATATGAAAGAAGTAAATTTGATGACGATGTGTTGAAGTAATTTCAAGAAATGAAATGTTTTACTGTGTATAAGCCCTCAGATTTTTCAGCAGATTTCTTTTGAGAGCAAATATTTTATTCAAGTTTGCACGCGGTGTAACATAGTTAAAATAGTCGATAAATTCCTTATAGAATACAATAATTTCTATGATTACACCTTTTTCACTTCCTTGCCAATTTTGAGGATGAGCAACAGAATATCCCATCTGATTCGAAATATTCCTCGCTTTTTTTAATGACTTTCACATTATATGAATTATATTTGCATCTATATAAGTTATCCATCGTCTTTCTGATTATCTTAAAACAGATTTTAAGGATTAAAATCTTGATAGTTCACAAGAATTTGACTTCGGCATAAAAGCGATTGATTTGTGTGAATAAAATGAATATATACTGTATTGTATTCTTGTTACATTTTGACTAAAAATATGTTGAATCATTAATTTAGTTGATCAAAACCTGAAAAGTGATTTTTTCCGTGTTCTCGTCGATTGAGCGGAATATGTATGAAAAAAATTGTAAAATTCACGTTATACCAGAGATTTGCGTGAATTTAGAGATACTGCAGCGACACCTGCTACCGACAACAGCAATGCTGCTGTGTCAGCAGCGACATCTTCCATGCCAGGTGAAAACCACGATCCGGGGTTCCTAGCCAAGTTCGGTCTAGCAGGCTCGACGAAGATTGAAGCGGACTCGGGACAAGCACCTGTTTATGTTGATCCCATAACCCGAAGGTGTGATATTTTTTTGCGCACTTGCGAAAATCACAAAGTTCGTCTTGAATGTCAGTTTCATAATTGCAAGTTAGCCTCCTAAAGCGGCTTCTAACAACGGTAGGTGTCGCTCGCTGCAAGCTATGAAATCATCAGTTCCCCAATCCCAGCCAGTACCACCAAAATCAAGTAAACTTGTGATGTGCATTAAAACAATTATTTAATTGCTTCTATATTTGATGACTCAAAATGCGTGGACCGAAATATGCCACATAATTGTGGATTCATTTGATTTATGATATTGACCAGCAGCTTACTGTGATACAGCAGTATTAAAACTGCCAAAATTTCCAGTACCAAACTGTCTGTCTTGCTTTCTGCCTCTTTGTCTTGCTTTCTGCCTCTTTGTCTTGCTTTCTGTCTCTTTGTCTTGCTTTCTGTCTCTTTGTCTTGCTTTCTGCCTCTCTTGTCTGTCTTTCTATCTCTTTAGTCTGCATGTATTTTTGTCTTTTGTCCGCATGTCTTTTTGTCTTTTGTCTGTCTGTCTTTCTGCCTCTTTTGCCTGCCTTACTTTCTGCCTCTTTTGCCTGCCTTACTTTCTGCCTCTTTTGCCTGTCTTACTTTCTGTCTCTTTGTCTTACTTTCTGTCTCTTTGTCTTTCTTTCTGTCTTTGTCTTTCTATCTCTTCTGTCTGTATGTCTTTCTGTCTTTTGTCTGCCTGTCTTTCTATCTCTTTGTCTGTCTGTCTTTTAAGTCTTTCTATCTCTTTGTCTGTCTCTGTCTTTTAAGTCTTTCTATCTCTTTGTCTGTCTCTGTCTTTTAAGTCTTTCTATCTCTTTGTCTGTCTCTCTGTCTTTCTGCCTCTTTGCCAGTCATATTCAGGCCTCTGACTGTCTGTCTCATTGCATCTTTCTTTCTGCCTCTGCATAAATGTGTTCTTGTCTTTCTGCCTCTGCATAAATGTCTTCTTGACTTTGTCTTTCTGCCTCTGTCAAGGGTCCTTAGACACCTGATAAAGAATTAGGTTTTAGTGGAAAGAGTAACACAGGCAATTGTCCGTTTGTGGCCTGAGGTTGATCCTCAACTTTTGATAGTATATTTTCATGATACTTTATTTTTGTGATTGTCCAATATCCATTATTCCGAAAATAAATGGAAACTACATTCCCAAATTTTACCTCTTCCTCTAACTACCTTGGGGAATCAACTGTGCGCCATTCATTTTGAATGCGGCAGTGTGATTTTTATACCTCAAGGCAAGAACATCAAACCTACTAACACCAATGGAAAAGGATGAACTAACAAACAACACATACATTGACGATGTACTTGTCTTTAAGAAAAATCCTGAAGAAATTTGGACAAAAATGGAAAATGCCACTAAGGACCCTTGACAGCCTCTGCCTGTCTGTCTTTCTGCCTCTGCCTGCCTTTTTTATACATTTATTTTGCCTCTCTGGTTTTCTGCCTCTCGCTCTGCCTGTTGCTGTCTCTTTCTGTCGCTTCAGAATGTCTCCGCAACCTGGAAATATCTTAACCCTGGGCACTTCTGTATTCCACCGCAGATACGAAGAATTCGCCGCAGCAAAATGGCCTAACCCCTTTGAAGCAATAAAGCGAGGAATTGCGTCTCTTGGAGTGTGTCCCACTGAGGAAGATAGGGCCAAACTGGGACAGGAGCCTTGCCCAGATAGTGTTACCGCCGGCGGGGCATTCAAGTGGCTCCGGTGGTTCCTCATGGGGGAGGCGCTGATGTTTTGGGGCATGTTGGGGTACCAGTACACCACTTGCACTCAGAGGCACGAGTGCCACCGCCTCATCAACACCATGCGGAATGCGCAGGACATGCCCAAGTATATGATGATCGATTTTTTAATGCACTTGAGGGTGTTTTTTTTTTACAATCTTTTCATTTTTTATAGCAAGATGTGACGTATTGATGTTGAAATAAGAAAGGCATCTTTGTTAGATACAGCAATTAATTTTCAACTAATAAATTTTATTATACAGTTTTAGGGCATTTTTGTAAATGTTCCTGGCATTTATGTTTCCTTTGTTTGTTTTTTCTAAACTAGAAACCTCTCAAGTCAATTTTTTTTTGCTGATCCCTTGAAATTCAACTAGAGGTTCAACTGTTTTTGTAACTAGTGTATTTTTTTCAGGCTGCTTTTTTGGCTGACCACCAGCTCTGTGTTTGGTGGCACAGCAGTGGTCCTATCCTCACTCACTGAAAAGTTCCTGGCAATCCTGGCAGCAGGACTGGACAAGCTCATGTGCAACACCGCTGAAACCAACACGTTTCTCCGATCTGACGAACCCATCAGCAGCACATCACCCAACATGTCTGTCATGCGTGACGCAAATGCCTTGAGGAATGCGTGGGAAATGCATCATCCCACATCAGGCATTCTTGAGAATAACAGGATGATGCCGCCCAGTAATCCCTGTGGCGGCCCTGTGTTCAACCAGCAGGAGTACTTTGAACACTGTGTGCACTGTCCGAATGCCAGAGAACGGTTTTATGATGACAGCAACTGTGTGTGCAACCAGCAGGTGCAACAGCAACAGCACCTGCAGGATTCCAGATGTGAGTTGAAAGTTTCTCTCTCTAACTCTTAATTCAGCTTTTTGATTTTTGAGAGTCATTACCATAAGATGAACTATACACTGGGATCATGACTTCTCACTTCTCAGACTCTGTGCTCAAGCATCAGAATGTTTCCATATTAAATCAAAATTTTGCACAGACATCACTGTGAACATTTTCAATCACTTCTCATGTTTGGAAAAATGGAAGAAAAATTCCAAGAAAATATTTTCTCCCATTCTGGAGACATTTGAAATTACTTTGCCTCAGGAACTCACAATTGGCCATTTTGGCAGGAACATGAGTCCAAAAGGTTTTTAGAAAAAGTATATGTGCATTCTACATTCTATGCATTTATTGTAGAAAACCTCTGAACATTGGAGAAGCGCAAAATTAGTCTGCTTTGGAAATGAAATTTAATTTTACTAAAATTAAAATTTATATATTTTGTTTATGACAGTAGCTTCATGTCAAAATATTCTTTAAATTTTTATAGAAATCTCAAGAAATCTGCCCCAGCATCTGAGCTTTAAAGAGAGTCATATCATCCATGCGTATATTTTCCCTTTTTGAACATTTTTAAGGCATTTCAAAAACAAGTCTCCCATTTGAAATAAATTTTAAAATGAAGCGTACTGAAGAGAAGGTATACAAAAATATCTGATATTATCCTGTTTTTTAATATTCTGTAGAATTAATCACTGTTATTCTTCTTTGTGCTTTTATAGTGAATAAAGTACACTGAGACCTTGAGATGCAGATGTAATTGGTGTTGGGACCTTGTACCTATGTGAAAACATTCACATGTTGGATCTTGTTTTCATCCTGTAGACTTAAATTTTAACTCATTTAATTGGTTTTCCTGTTCAATGAAAATATCAAATCCACCAAAAAGGCTAATAAAATTTGTTTCTCAACTAAAAGATACAAAATATAATTGTACAAGAGAGCCACCCAGAATCTGATCTATTTTGGCACTAAAAAGGGCAAAAAGCAAAGAAAAAATAAGTCTTGCTAAACTGTGCACAGATATGATGGAGTTCCCATTAAAAAAACAAAGAATCAGGAAAGTAGCCTTTTTTATTATAAATTTGATTGAATTTTTAATAAAATCCCTTTTTGACTGCTATGAACATGAATCACCGGGGAGAAAACATACATGAACATAAATCTTTGGGAGATTTTGAACAGTAAAGATTTTAAATTTCCCCAGAAATGTTGGGAAAGTGTCCATTTGTTGTTGAGATGTTGTCCAGATGTTGGGTCTGATTTTTCAACATTTCAAGTGTCCCCTATAGTCTAATTGCTTGTTGGGGCGATGGAATTTTTGGATCTCACTGTAAAACAGACCTGTGGGCATGAGTCTGCATTCCTAGATTCATTCTGTGTGATCATTTTTTTATGTAAAAAAAACCATCATAAGTTGCGTAATCCAAATTTTAAGCTGCATTAAAAATATTCCAGATGCAAGAGACATCTGAGTGCTGAGGCAGTTACCCAGCCTCCAAGGGGATTTAATTAAAGTACAAAACTACATTATGGCTGCAGAAAAATGAGAGAAGCTGGAGCATCCTCACTCCTTGGATGTTAAAAGAGGAGTCATATTATTGTCTCTGGTCACAGGTTTTGTGAAGACAACAATCACACACACAATCAGCAAATACAATCTCGCATTGTCCAATAAAAACTCACTTTCAAAAAGAAATAAAATCAGGAAAGAAAAGGTGCTTCGCCTATGGCGCAATTCCCGACACGCAAACTTCCGAAGCAAATAACTCCGCGAATTTTACACTTGAAAATTTTCACAACATCTTACATTGAAGCTGAAGATGTACTCCAACTTTTCCTGTATGATCTAAAAATTGATCCAATCAACAGATCTTGAGATATTCTCACTTTTCTAAACCTAACTTTTCTTTGGTGATAAGAATCTGTAAAACCTTCATGCCAGATTCCTATCTCACTGATGCACAAGCTTTTGGTGCAAACAGTGACTTCAAAAACCTTGCTTCTAAATTTAGATGAGTGAATTTATTTCTGCAACAGTTGCGGATACGTTGGAAAAAAAGAGCAATACGGTACTCCAAAAAACTATCACCATCAAATAAAACACAAATAACACGCTTGAAAAATGAGCTCAGATATCCAGATTTCCCTTTAAATTATTTTCAAGGAAAACAAAAGTGTATATCTGCGCGCAAGTAGTGTACCAAACTGGTCAAATATTTAAAAGGAAAAAAACACCTTGTGAAACTGAACCCTTATTGGGCATGACTCGGAAAAGTCATAACGCGAGGTGTACACTATCCGGGGCATTATTGTACCATTTGCACTGAATCTCAGAACCATTTTTTTTTATACCCAATTCCAGCAGCGACACCTGACGACGACCGGTCGGACTTCCGTCGGTACCTGGAAGACTTGCAAGAATTCATCCGACGTCCCTTCAACTTTCCGGAAGACCCGAACACAGTACGAGAACGCCGACAGTCCAGAAAACTAGCCAAACAACAACAACTGCAACAACAACAACAACAACATCATCAACAACATCAACAGCAACAGCAACAAGGCCATCACCATGGAAGAACCACGTCAGATGACGAGAATGTGACGTCGTCGTCGTCATCGTCGTCTACTGCCAGCTCGACAAGAACTAATCGATGAACAATCAATCTATGTTTTGATTGAATGTGTTTTTCTTGCTTCTTTTCGTTTGGGAGCTATGAGTTGTCGTATGTTTTTTTTGTGGCCAACTTGAGGATCCAAGTGTTGCAAATACTGTCGATTTTGTGTGTTTCTGGACGTGTCCGTCTTAATGTTTTTGTCTCAAAATGAAAAAGAAAACCGAATATACTTTAGTGTACTCAAATCGATTCCCGACGAGTATATTTTAATTTCTTGCATTTAAAAGGATGCTTCGGACATTTGAAATGCTTTTTTAAGCATCATTAAAACTGGTTGGCCTTCTATTAGTGAGGTTAATTTTCTTTGCTTTCTATTTTTTTCGAAAATCAGAGGAATCTTTTGAAGCATTCAACTAGTTCTGAAACAAAGCTCTTCGTAAAAGTTTGAATTATTCTCGACGAACGTATTTTTTTCGCTCGTCCAATTTTGAGTTATTCTGACACTGACGTCAATAATTTAATCTGTAAATGCAGTACATTTATCCAATCAATTATTTTTTGTTCTTCATGGATTATTGATTTTTGTGCACTGCGTGTTTTTAGGGGCATCTGAAAAGTTAAATAAGTTTTAAAAGACCTATCATGGAAAAATGTTCTGCTTATCAGGAAATCCAGTGCATCAACACTTTCCTGAAAATATCGTCAAGAGATCTTGTAACTTCAGTTTAAATGATTAAGAATGGATATCGAAGTATTTCATTAAAAATAGCTTAATTTTTAAGCGCTTAAATTTGAAAAAAAAACACCTATATCTTCAAGACACGCATCCTAATTTTTTTAGTAGATTTTTGTATATTTTACCTTTCAGGATTTTTTTTATATTTACTGTATAAAATTAAATGAATTACTGAATTAAACTCGAACTTGGGATTTTCATCTGTCTTTTTTATATTTCACACCATGGTATTCAAACTTCATTTTGATTTTTGAAAAATATGCTTCCTCCTATTAAATTCAAAATTCATTTGAACCTACATTTTCATTTCATGTTTGTTCACTCTTTGAATTTTAAAAATTTTTAATACAGTAATGTAATTTGACTACAGTATGGCAGGCAATGAAACTGATAAATTGTCTTGAAAAATGTTATACCCAAGTACAATATGCTAACTTTTTTTGGCCTTGTTGGGGACTGAGGGGCACACATATAAAAAAATAATTAAATAATTCTCCCAACAACCAGCTTCTCATAAACCAGTGCTAGGGCTTGTATACAGAGTCCAACACCAAAGAACTTGCACCCAAGAGCCTTCAAAACTTGTGGAAAATGCTGCACATCATATTTGATTTTTATGTTTATGGCCTATCAGAAAACACAAAAGAATCCTAACCTTCACCAAGAACAATTTAAATGCAAACCTTCCTCAATAATGCATAAAAGCCCCAAGAACTTGAAATCAACAGCAAATTGTCATTCAGAATCTCATTCTTAGCTTCCACTGTTTGACCCAATTCTCTGAGAAATTTAGTGAATTACTGTGTTTGTGCATTTCTCAATAAGAAGATGCTGAGTTGTTGATTCTTTTGGGACATCAATGAATACCAATTTCTTGATACTGTATTAGCAAGTCCCATGCAGGCTAATTGTGGAGTATTATTCATAAAATCTCTTGGCCTGGAGAAATCCCTAACAGACCTTAATTTCTGTGGGAAATTTGCTGGTGGCACTTGAGTAAATACAGCACATGTGTTGTTATCTGCCAGAAAATTGGCACATCTTGAATGTGTTCTACCAGAAGAAAGAACTTTTGACAGTCAGGAAAAATTAATTTCACCAATATACAGATCTCAGATACAATAATATGCATGCTGTTCCCTCAATACCCTGTTGAAGGGTATTCGACCATTCACAATCAGTTAAAGACTCATCATGACTCGAGTTTTGATACAAAAAAGGGCCCGTTTTAATCACCTTGAAGGTCGTAAAATGTTAAAATTTGTGGGTTAATCCGAAGTTATGGCACTTGGATCACTTTAGTGAAGGTTCACTGGAATGCAAACTTCCAGCGATGGATCGGTTAATAAGGTATCATCGATGAGACAAGAACCCAGTCGATCATGTCTGACTCCAATAATGGTATTTAAAAAAACAAATCAATTGTTTTTTCAACAGTTTTTTGTCCTCAATTTACTATCATTTTATAGCAGAAAATGAAAACGCAAACGGTCTGCAACTGAAGGCTTCTTCCTCGAGCTTTTGGCCCAGAAGGCTCTTGAGGGAAGACCTCGAAAACTTTCTTAAATCAGAAAGTTCTAGTTCTTTTGAACTCAAAGGAATTGATTCCAGCAAAGAAGCACGTCTTCGACCACAACACTTGCCTAGTTTCATCACAGGGCCTTTGAATGAGCTCTCTAAACTTGAAAATATTGAACGATCTAAAGAACGGCCCACAGCAGCCATCATTGTTTGCCCTCTCAGTGAATCAGCAAATGAGCCAATTATTGAGCCCTGGCATGGATTTGATTACAAGCCAACTAAGGTCAGATCTAATGGAGAAATCATCAAGGAATGCGAGTCTAAGGATGTGATAGACAACAAAGCATTGGAAGTTCAGGTCATTATTTGACTTTCAATTTCAATTTACTTTTGTGGGTGTGGTTGAACTAAATTTATTTGATGGGTAACCATGATATAATTAATTTAAAATTAAAATTATACATTTTTCATGGTTCTTTTAAAGCAGCCACCATATTTTATTTTTTGTTATACAGTCAACCCCTGTCTAACGAACTTGATTCATGCAAGGGACAAGTCTGTTAGACAAAAAGTCCTTTACATGAATTCAATTACATAAAAAATTAAAAATTTCAATTTATCTGTTTGGCAAAAATCCCTTACACAGGAGGTCTGTTAGGCGGGGGGCCACTGTATACAGGGGACTATATTTACAACTATCTTGTCTATAACAAATTTCTCTGTTAAACAAAAGGTTTTTCTGCTCTCTCAGAGTTTGTTGTACAGGAAGTCCACAATTTTTTGCAAGGTCTTTATGGCTTCGTTGAAAAAATTTCTTATCAAATGTATCCCTGATTAAGATGCACACCCTGCTTTAAATCATTGGAAAATTGGAATTTGTCAATAAGATACTACATATTGAAACTTTTATTTTAGACCTAAATTGAACATGAATTAACTTGCTCTTTAATTTTTATACAGTATTATCATATGTCATATAACTCAGCAGACTTCATTTCATTTTAATTCATTTGTCTTTGAAAAATTTGCTGCAGATCCAAAATTTCCAAAAATCAACTTGTTTATGTTGAGCAAATTTTTTCAAAATTTATATCCCTGCTTTTCAGGTAAAATCTGCTCTTTTGTCCCTAATTTTGGAAATGCATGTGCATGGTATTTGAGTAAATACAGCTTTTAAAATATTTCTTGTCTGTCATTTTAAATTTATTGAAATTTCAAATAAATTGAGTCCAATGAAATTTCTCATTCAATTGGTACAATTTCAATGGATGCCATTGTCCACATAAACATTATCTCTTAATTGTTCTAAATAGTTCTTAAGAAGCACAGGCTTTGAACATGATTTTATTTCCTCTTGATCCTCAACAGAAACAAGAATTTGAAGAGGAAGACTCTGGTAAAAATTCCCCTGAGACCAGTGAAATACACAAAAAGGAAGCTGCAACATTCGCAAAGGAGTCTGATTTCATTGAAAAGCCACTCACCTCATTGCTGACATATGAGCCTTCACCTGTTTATGAAGATAAATTACTCAGTAATTTGAGTCTTTCAGATGCTGAAAGATTCTGTCCAGACTTCAGGGTGATCGCAGGAAGCAACGATGTGGACGATTTGATGGAAGAGCAAGGGTCACTAACCGAGTTTGAACAAGGCTTAAGGAAGAGACTGATTCAATACGCTGCTGCTTACTGGGTCTTCACAATAATTCTGCATTTCCATTGCACTGAAAGGTATAATTTTCCCAATAGAATCCCTGGTCAATAACTTGAATCTTTCCCTGTCAAAAACATCCTTGAGTCACATTTTTTAAAGTCTATATGAATTATCCTTCAAAATATGCATCTCAGACTTCCCTAACTAAATAATTTTCCTTATCAAACCTCCATTACTGCAATTCTCCAGTCTTTTGGCTATTATTTTATTCACACATATTGAATCCTGAATATTTTTCTTTGATGCTAAAGGCCGAAAATAGCTGCAGAGGATAACACACAATTTTTCCATTTAGTGGGAACATTTTGAAAAGAAATTTATTATGCAAAGCACATTCAAAAATGTTGCAGTTTGTTTTTTCAAAAATGTTACACAATTATGTTCATTGTTTTCATTCAAGAACATTCAAAAATATTCTTCAAAATAATACTGGGATGGACTCTCTTCACAAAATAATGTGATGGACCATTAACAATTAATTGTAAAGAGAGTTTCTTTGGTAGAAAACCCCCTATAATATGGGAATTGAAACAAGGGAATGGAAAAATTCATTATACAGAGACTATATTTGTAGACAATATCCTTTTTGATACTCTGCCTGTAATACGGTTGAACCTCAATAACTCAAAGCTCCTTTTTGTCAATTGTGAACCCCTTTCTGTATTCCCTTTGAAAAAAATGCACTAAAACCCTACCATCCTTGAACCTCCAGCATAACTTGAATTTTCTGCAAGCATTTTGGTTATTTTATGGACTTACTGAAGCAAAAAGTAATAAAAAACCAACTTGATATATTTTGAAAGGAAACAAAATATGAATTTGACAAATGAGCCCTTGCTTCAAATTTCAGCATTATTCTGTCAACTCAATTGAGGAGCAAATTAAGGCCCAAATTATCACCATTAACAGTTCCCTGTGATTACAATTTGTTTCCTTCACACATAAAAAATTCTTGCTGAAACCTTAGCTACTGGACAAGGGAAATTTGTCCAAGTTGGACATAAATAGGTTCTGGTGCATATTCAAACCAGAGTTTCTTTCTTGATATACTGAATGAATGAATGAATGAATGAATGAATGAATGAATGAATGAACAAGTGCTTTATTTTCTGTTTTTCAGCATTCACAAGGTTCAAACAATGTTACCACATCCAGGCCCCCTCCCCTTCTCACAATCTCACCCATGTTCATCCAAACACATTCTTCACATCAGAATGGAAAAAATAGAAATTAGCTGTGCATGGATATTAAAAGAAACCCCCCCCCCCCCCCCCCCCCCCCCCCCTCACCCAACCCAAATCAACTCAAAGATATTTAATCACTTCAGAGCAGGAAACAGAGGTCAAATGGATAACAAAAATAAAAGAAAATACAATTAAAATACAGCAGAACATCTGACATGTATGCTGCATACACCCCTTCCTTCCCTGACATTGAAAACAAAATCCACATTTTCTGTGGGTATACGAGGGTTCTAACAAAAGTTCTCCGAACAAAAATGAAAATGCCATCTATAATCAAGCTAAAAAAAGTATTCTTTAGGGCAAACATATTCTTTAAAAAAACTGCAGGAAGGGCGCCTCATCTGTTGAGTGGATAGCAAAACTCTGCCACAGTGAATTTTGCAAAACATTGAAAAAAATTGTCAAACAGGGCTGATTTTTTTTTTGTGCCAAAGAATATGTTTGCCCTAAAGAATAATTTTTTTTTAGTTTGATTAGACGCCATTTTCATTTTCATTCCGAGAACTTTTGTTAGAACCCTCGTATGACAGACTGTATTCTTTCTTTGCACTATTCAGCAGCAAAGGCGACTGGTTTTCCAAACCCGTCGCCAACCCCGTATGCGAAGTGATTTTCGGCAACTTGTGGATAATCCTGGGACTCCCAGCTATTTTCGGGACCAGTTTCGTCGCCATCACAGTTTACGACCTGGCCATACCCCACATTCACAACACCTATCAGAACCGAGAGCACTATTTCCAAGCCCTCCTGGACAAATACCAATCTATCAGAGACACCCTCAGGCTCAGAGTCGAACAAGCAGCTAGCAATTTTATCAGGGAACATCCCGCAAACAACAACAACAACAGTGATACTCCTTCGGCAGTGTTGCGCAGAATCGCGAACCGATCCGGGCTGCACAACTTCCGGGCCGGAAACGAAATCCCGGGTTCCACAGCCTTCGAACAGCCCCATTTCCAAAAGTTTTCCCTGGTTCCGTCCGCGACGAATGCGGATCCGTTTGCCACAGGGATTTCGAATAACACGTTGATCGTGGCGGTGCCCGGAAGGGCGAATTCGGATGCACTTCCGCTTCAGTGTACTGCAACCGGAGCCACAATTTCCGGAGAAACGCAGCGGAAGGAGAGGGAAGTAAGTCCGGAAGCTGACGACGACGAACTGCGTTCTTTGGCATCCGTTGGCAGCGCTGCTTTGGTGAAGAATAAGCTGGTGGTGAAATTCACCTCGAGGAACAATAATAATAGTAATAATAACAAGGTCAAGCAAGCGCCGCTGATTGAAGAACCGGACCTGACGAGATCCGTGAGGAACAGCATTAATCTGAGGACCTCCAAGAGGAGTCCGACTCACATAGTGCCCCTGGTTTTCAGCAGCACTCCGGAGAACAGACTAAGACTCACTAGGTTGGCAACATTTTGATTGATTGATATCAGTACCATGCATACAGGGTTGGCCAAAAAAATCAACTAATTTTAGACTTGAAAGAGCTAGGTACCAAATTGAGCTGTGGCAATGAAAAAAAAGCACCAAATGAAAGCGTGTTCAATTCTGTTCAAATGGTATGTAGATTTTTTTTCATCATTTCATTTATGGTCCCATCAGGTGCCATGTAATGGTCACAATAAAAACCATTTGAATGAAACCTTCTAAAAAAAAACAAGTCAGGCAACTTTTTCCACTAAGCTGCTGTTCTGGGGAGCTGTTTGCTTGAATTAAGGAAATGCAGGATACAATAAGTTAACCAGGAACTTCCTGCTATCTTGAAGAGCCTGAACATTCTCAAATAATTCAGAAGGAGGGATAAGAAGGGGGAAGAAAATTGGCAACATAGGATGCTGCAAAGGTCCCATAGTGCATGTGTGCTGCTTATGGGCACTGGCCTTGCAGCTCCCAGTGACATACTGCATGCACCTTTTTTTTTGGATGACTGCAAGGATTGCTCAAAATTACTCCAGTGGGGAAATTGATGCACACTGGGCATTTGTTTGTAATTCTACACAGTGACCCTGCTGTGCACCTGAAGTGTACCAAAGATTTTCACAAAAGATTGAATTGTCATCAGTTTCTAAGCTATCCTGAAAGTTTCAGCTTGCTAGCTAGTTGGGAAGTGAGCAAAATTTGAGCTGCAAAATTTGATCCGGACAAACAAATGGACAAGAAAGCGAGTTAATAAAAACGTGTTAAAAATGAACCACTTTTTGACTTGAAATAGCTAGGTACCAAATTGAGCTGTGGCAATGAAAAAACGAACCAAATGAAAGCTTGTTCAATTAGGTTTCAAATGGTATGTAGATTTTTTTAATCATTTCATTTATGGTCCCAGGTGCCATGGAATAATCACAATAAAAACCATTTGAATGAAACCTTCCCCAAAAAAATAAGTCAGGCAACTTTTTCCACTAAGCTGCTGTTCTGGAGAGCTGTTTGCTTGAATTAAAGAAACGCAGGATACCATAAGTTAACCAGAAACTTCCTGCTATCTTGAAGAGCCTGAACATTCTCACAAAATTCAGAAGGAGGAGTGAAAAGGGGGAAGACAATTGGCAACATAGGATGCTGCAAAGGTCCCATATGTGCATGTGTGCTGCTGATGGGCACTGGCCTTGCAGCTCCCAGTGACCTACTGCATGCACCTTTTTTTTGGATGACTGCAAGGATTGCTCAAAATTACCTGAGTGGGGAAATTGATGCACACTGGGCATTTTTTTGTAATTCTACACAGTGACCCTGCTGTACACCTGAAGTGTACCAAAGTTCTTCTGTTGCACATGCATATCCCCAATATGCACCAATTGTGCATTCATACCAGGATTACTCATGGTCACATTTGTAAACAAATAAAAGGTTTGATTTTTCAAGGTTGAACTGATAATACATACAGTGAGTGCAAATGCACAAATAACCCATTTCCATCAACACCTATCATTTTGAGTAATAAATCAGCAGAAATCAAGAATGGGGACTTCCTGAAATTAATTTGAACAATACTTGAGGTTTTCATGCCTTTAACAAATGAACTTCATAATGATCAATCCAGGTGAAAATGTGTCAGAAAAGGAGACTCACAACTGAAGTACAGTACTGTACTGTGTTTAAAAATGAAAATGTACAAAACAAACTTCCCATGTGCAAAAAATTGCAAAGGATTGGATAGTTCTGTGGTCGACTCACCGATTTTCTTGCAATTCTGGTTTTCTTTGTTCCTTTTTTCAGGTCACTCCCTGGAGACAGCATTTTGAGTACTAATAATAACAAGCCATCAATCGCAGTGATCCCTTCGTTCACAACTTTCGAATTAACCCCTGCAAACCAGGACACGTTCAAAACAAGCCCGACTTCACTGAAGAACATTTCAATCAGGTCCCCAGCAGCAGCAGTCGTCAAACAGCATCACGAACCGTCTGATTTCCGGGTCCCGAAATTCGAACCCGTCGCACCCACCAAGTCCCATTCCCACACGGGTTGCAAACGTTTGCAAAAACTCATGGAACTCAAGAACCTTCTGAACCCGAGACGACGAACCCGACGATTCCCGAGTCTACCCAAGCCCTGGAGCAAACGGACAAATTCTGATTAATATAGTCCAGGGAGAAAAAATAATAATATTAACAATTCCAAGACGATAAGAAAAAAAGAAGAAGATGGACAATAACTGGTTGAGTGTGGGACTTTGGTTGTTTTGCTTTGGCGATTGGTTCTTTGTTTGGTGGAGACAACGTTGCCCGATTTTGAGATTTGCTCTCAGAAGTGACTGGAATGCCGGGCTGAGATTTTTGGCACAGATCCCGGCTGCTTATTTCAGCTGGGTGCTCATGCAGGAAGCGTATCAACTCAGCATGGGATTCGTCGCTCTTTTCTTGCGATATTTGCACATTTTACACGACAAATGGGTTCGACTATCAGTGGATGACGTTTCCTGATTGACGAATGACAGAAGCCTGTTCAAGTTCTGCGAATCGTTGATTTTCTCGACATTTAATCTGGGGAAATACGATTCCTTCATCACATTGAGCCAACATGCCAATTTAAAGTTTAAAAAAATTTAATTACGATTATGCTTAGAACATAGTTGCCAGTACGATTTCAAGAAAAAATTGTATGCATTTATTCTCCTGAATTTAGCCTCGAAGTTTTTCTTGGTTTCTGAATTACCGATATTTGCACATTTTACATGAAAAATAATGGGTTCGGCTGTCATCGGTGAACGTTTCCTGATTGACGAATAACTGATCACCTTGTCATTTGAGTTATGCAATGCATTAATTTTCTCGTCACTTAATATGGGGAAATGAAAAAATTCATTCATCATAAATGACTTGAGCCAACATGCCGAAGAGGCAAAAATTACGCAAATGCTTAAAACATAGCTGCCAGGACGATTTATTGATTAAAAATGTTATTTATTCTCCTGGATTATGCTTTGACCTTTTTCTTAACTTCTGAATTCTACGGTGGTGCATATAAAAGGGCTTGAAACTTAATGAAAATTGTCTTTGAATATTGTGAAACACATTTCTTTAAATCCCAGATTATACAAGTGGTACCTTGCAATTTGACCTCCTACAATTTGATCATCTTGCAATTTGACAGTTGAATTTGCAGGGAGGTTGACTTGCAATTCAACCTCTGCCCCAGAACTTGACCTGCTTTGGCCACTTTTTTATTTTTGTGCTGATATATCTCAATTTCACAAAGTATCTTGCATTTTGACCACTTATTGGCAAGTTAACCCTAGCCTGGCAACAGAGATTAGGGTCAAATTTCAAGGTACCACCTGCACAAGAGCCACATTAAAGGATATAATTAACCATAATTGGCCACTTATATACTGCAGTATAGCCCAACAAACTTATACACATTACCTTCACAAAGCTTTACACATACTGTATTTTCTGTCATTGAAATGACCCCAATATGGCGGAACTATCAATGATGACCAAATTGGTCGAAAACCTCAAAAATTTATTTCAAAGCGTGTCTTGGAAGAATTTATCTGATGCAGGGGCTCTCATCAAGAACGAAGTTGAAAATAATCAAGGGAATTTGGCTGAAGATTTCCCTGCTTGGAAGTGGGATTCATTTGATCAACTGCAGATTTTAGCTGATTAAAGATCCTTGTTTGCTTGACAGTAAGTACATTAGTTTTTCTACTAAATCAACTATAGGGTAGACCAATTAGGATATTTTTTATCACTTCTTGAATTTGGAAAATTTTCTTCAGGTAAATTAAATAAAATCTGTTCTTGGGATTTAAAACAATTAATAACTTTGATGGAAGAAATGTATGAAGGAAAGAAATGACGGAAAGCATTTTCAAAAATTCTAGAGTTTGTCAAAACCTGAGAGCTTTAAAGCATCATGTTCACTGTGTTTCTGCCAGACCATTTAAAATTATCATTACTACAGTAATGATATTTTTAAATACCTATTCTCAAACAACTTTGCCAATAAAATCTTTCTAACATATTCCCTAATACAACTTTAACCTAACTCAGTCACTTTACCTCCCTCAGTAAAATAATCAAGGCCTTTGATTAATTTGACTTAGAATATAGAACACTTGTTCCAGAAAACCAAGAATACAGTAAAATTCTGTTACACCAAATCTCTTATAACAAATTTTTCATTATGCCAAATTTTTTCTTTGGTCCTAGCAGTTTTCCCATAATTGCCGCAATTTTATCAAAATATCATTTCAACAAATTCATTTCTCACTATAACAAATTTATGGCCTTGATTCCATGCATAGGCTGCAAAGATAATTAAATAAATGGCTTAATATGGATATACAAATTGAAATGGAGCAGGATTCCAACTTCTTCCAAGAACCAAAAAGCTTTCTTCAGAAACAATATAGTGGTCAAAGAAATACACAACATAACATATTTATGGGAAATTCCATCTAGAATCTGGTAAAACTATGAATCTCATTACAATGCATTTTTGGTTATAACGAATTTTTAATCATGTTCATGGTGTTTGTTATAACAAAATTCTACTGTCAATATAATTATGGGTACTTTCCTGTTATCTCAGTACCTACTTTACGTGCACCTACCAGAAAATGTGAATTTCATTTTTCTGCATTCTGCTGTACATTATTTTGAGAGGCAGTTAGGTAAAGTTAGGTTAGGTCAGATTACGTTAGTTACAAATATCTTACCTGACCTAACCTAACTTTAGCTAACCGCCTCCCAAAATCAGTTTCAGCAGAAACCCAAAGAAAGCAGAAACTGATTTTGTGAGGCGGTAAGTTGAAGTTAGGTTAGGTCAGGTTACGTTAGTTACAAATATCTTTCAATTAACATAACCTGACCTAACCTAACCTATACTGAATTCATGAGACAAAGAAAAATGGGTACTGAGATAACAGGAAAGTACCTAATTATGTTCCTGACATTTTTTGTTTGTATTTTTGTTTAGGGGATTAAACAACTTCCCGCAGGCAGGAAATCTATGAATACTGTAATAAATATATCTGAGGCGCAATTTTCTCACTCAAAAGCTATTCTAATGGAATTTTTTTCCCCTCTTCGGATTTTTCTCAAGTCACATTTTAAAGACATTAAGATTATTTTCAAATTGTGTATATTTTTCTAATTTGTGAACCATGCTTGATTCACAATCTTGTAGCCCATCTCACAAATCTCAATTTGATCGGTTTCTCTAATAACACTAAAACGATTTTTACAACTGTATTTATTTTTTCCAGACATGCTGGGATCAATGTTGGCAGAAGCTTTCCCGCACGTCTACAGGCTCTTTCTAGTTTGCAAGACAACTTTCCCGTCGATTTCAAACGAAAAACCCACGCACACCAACAACAACAAGGAACCCAAGCTGAGCAAAAAGATTCAGACCTTCTTGAACGGAGGAGACCTTCTCTGCTCCTCCTCTAGCAAGCCCAAAATCATTCCGGACCAAACCCGAACCTGTCTGGTGTCATCCCAGGTTCTCCTGGGATTTCGGCGCCTCATGCTTTTCCTTGCCGTCATTTGGTGGTCTACTATACACATGCAACTCATTCAATGTCTGGATGGGGATTGCCAGGGATTCAGGGACACGATTGACGGGTTCCTCGTTGTCGGAGGATTGGGTGACATTATTTATAAAACCGGGGTTCTCGCTGGGACCATTCTCGGCCTGGGCACCGCGTTGGATTACGTCGCGAGAAGTTGTCAGAAGAGTTGCATGAGTTTGTCTTGGGTCTGGGATAGAATATCGGCGAGATTTCGACCAGGATGAAATAGTTTAATCCTTTTATTGATATGTCGGTTTCCGCGAGTGGGACTGTATTTGCCGTCACATGTGGGTAGAATTATATCCGCTGCTGACCCATCAGAATTGCAGATGTTATTTGAATGAGACGCGATTGACCCTTGAGCCGTTCTCGTTATTTTTTTTGAGGATTCGAAATGAATTTTGCCAGCACTTAATCTTCGTTGATACTCTACATGCGCCAAAGCAATTACCGATTATGTACCAGGGTTTTTTTGATGAAATTTTTTATTTAATCCTATCCCTGAGTAAGATGCGCGCCCCATTTTAGTGACTCTAAAACTACATTATTTCAAAAATAAAAACACCGAAATTTGAACTTAGATATGAATTGGACTAATTTTAACATACATCATTTTTGGACTAATTTTAACATACATTATTTTTTGACTAATTTTAACATACATTATTTTTTGACTAATTTCAAGATACATTATTTTTTTACTAATTTAACATACATTATTTTTTGACGAATTTTAACAAACTAATTGAAATTAATTTAATTTTACTTATAATTAATACTAATGTTTGGAGAAATGAATAAGGCTCTCTGAAGACTTGGATTTTTTCGAAAATAGACACAAACGTGATTTTATTAAAAAAAACATAAATTTTTCATTAGAATATAGCATATTGCACACATGAATTCCTAAAATCTTTGAAAAATGTATACCTTCCCATGATGTGCTTAGATATGAATCTCTCAAATTTGAGAAAAATGGTGCGAGTGGTCTCAAGAAAATAAAGTACTTGCACTTTTCCCATACATGGGATGCCATCGATATTAGATGAACAAAAAGCCGAAACTTTTGTGATCATATGCAGTATTTGCTTTAAACCACACATGAGCTGAACGTCTCGAAATTTCCAATTTACTCTAAGTAGAATCAAAAGGAAATAAATGCAAAATTCATTTTTAAATACTCATTAAAAAGCACCTGAAGTCAAAAAATAATTATCAGGCACATCACTTCCGTTCTGAATCGAAATTAAACCACTTGCAAAGATGAAATTTTAAAAATGCGGCAATCGGGAACTAAAAAAAAATTTACAATTCGTCCTCCAGAGTTATTTTGAGCAACAATTATTGAAATCTTCAGCTCCTACGGTTTTCTAAAAATAAAATCACAAAAGTGTCCGTTTTCGGAAAAAAATCCAAGTCTTCAGCAGAGAGACTTATTCATTTCTCTCAGCAGTAATAATCAAATTAAAAGTAAGTTAATTTCGTTGTTGCACGGCTTTTCGACTCCCAAAATATTATTCGAAGCTAACAGATTTCTTCCTCGTGGATAACGCTGAGAAGAAAAAAAAAACCCCGAAATCTGTGAAATCAGGAAAACACTCAAAACCCACCTTGAAGACACAATGTAGGTCATAAGTGTGATAAAAACTAGGAAAGATGATTCATTTACGAAAAAAATAATTAAACGAACGACGAAACAATATTGACGAAAACATGCTTTTCAAACTTTCACCGCAGTCACTTTTATCATATAAATCCCCATCCAGTTCATCCAACGCTGCAATTACGTCACGATACGGAAAAATAAAAAGGGCTAATTCTCTGGAGTAATTCGATTACGGAACCCATAAAAAATATAACTTTGAAACGAAATTAGAACCACACAGATTAAGAATAAAAATAAAAAAAGATCCACGCGTCTCGCTGCTCGAAATTAACCGGGCATCGACTTGTGCATCGTATCACACAAAGTCACCAGTACAGTAGCCAGTTCCCACATAAGAGCGTCAAAGGCGTGAGCAACAATGATCAGGGTTCCAGCCAGGAAAGAGATGGTCATGTAAATGGCCGAAACCCAAGCCCCGAGACCCAGTGAGATTTTCGAATCAGGCTCCCCAAAACCGCCTCCATCTACAGCATCATCTGTAGGGTACAGGGGACATTTGATTTTGAAGACAATACTTCTAGAAACCCTTTAAAACGTGTTATATGTAATTAAAATTTATAAAACTAAGGACAGAATTTTTTTCGCAGCAAAATAAACTTGAGTTGTTCGCTGATATTTTTAAAAATAAATTTCACTGCATGTCAAAGTCGAATCGCATCAGTGACGTTTAAAACATCAAGAAATTAAATTAAGGAAATTATGATGTAAGCCCAAATGCGAGCGGAATTTTCCTTTGATTACATATACTGTAGTTCTCAAACGGAATACTGTAATACAACGGTAATACTGTACAGCTGAAGATTTAGAAAACAAATTTCAATGGACCAGCAAACAAATTTGATAGTTCAAGTACAGGTGTATTTGAGTTGATTAAAAAACTGCCCTGTGAAGGAGTTAAAGTTTCCATTGGCCGAATTACACTAACACATCCTTTCAAAAAGCCTCAAGTTACATTTTCATTACCATTCTTTATTTCAAGATTCTTCACAATGACAAATTAAAAAAAGGCTTCCAGAACATTCAAGTTACAAGACTTTACAAAGGTTTAGGTAAGAGAATTTTAGGATTGACAGGGTTTAAATATATTACTGTACAGTAAAATCATGCTGCACATGAGCAAAACTGGGACAAATGATATAAATTAATTTTAAAAATAATAATAAAATTTAGGGAACTGACTTTCAAGATATTGAGAAGGGACCTGAATAAAGGATTTACTGTAAGCAATTATTATTTTTAATTAAGATTCCACTGTACAGTGTTTCATGGGAAATTCAGACATGTATATACTGAAAAAAAGTTGGCATAGGAAGGTACAGTATTTGACAGCGAGATTTAATCATATTTCAGATCAAATCATAATAAAAAAGGCAAAATTCGAAATTTATATTATTACACAGAGAATTGATATACTGTACAAATTACCTTCATTTGAGAAACCAAAAAAAACTAAGGTTTACGTGTTTCAAAACGGATTCCTTTTTTCCAAGTTATCACAATAAAGAGCTAACATCTTAAATCATCACAGAGCGTCGCACTCAAGTAAAAACGTTATTTCATCCATAATACCCGCTTACCTTGTAACACCGTCGCCTTAAATCTCGCGGAATCCGCAGCGCACCCCAGGCCAGAGTAGGTCAGCCGCTCAATGGCGGCCAAGGCGTCCACGCAGCTGTCGCCGGCGGCGCATTTGATAACCGAGCCGAATATCCGCAGCCACATGAGTGCCGCCGGCAACACCAGCGCCAATTTGAAGCCCCAATACACCGGGGATATCGGACACGACACTTGCTTACACGGGCGAGCAAAATAGCGCATGTGGCTGGCGTCAACCATGGGCACTGAACTAGACACCGTCTTCAATCGCGGAGAAAAACCGTGTTCGTAGTGCGGGCTTATTTGCAATCTCGGAAAACGTTTCTGAGACATGTTGAAAAGGAAAAAAACGAGCGAAAAAGTAGCTCGACGGTGATTCAACAAAAAATCCTCATTGACAAAAAGCTCACGAACTAAACAATTATGTACGGTACTAGAATATTCATTTAAAAGGCATGCTGGATAATCTTGCATAAGTAACGAGTAAAGTAATAAAAAAATATGGTGAATTTTGAATCAGAACGATTTTGTTGCAGAAGAAGAGATCCGCGGGTCAGCTACATACCTGTTCAATTCAACATTCGCACGCACACAACCGTGAGAAAAAAAAGCAGAAGGCTTTTGGAAGGTCCTCAACCATCAGCAATTATTGCCACAATAATTTCAGCAGATATCATAAAAAAAGGAGTACGGTAATTTAATCAGCAGCGGCTCGACTCCTGAGTTAAAGATCGTCAGTTACATGATTTTCAGCCAGTTCCTTGGAATTTGCCTCGACATTCAAAACCACTTCTCTCATCATTCATTTCTTCAATGGTTTCTCGGTTATACTCTGAGCCGACGAGTTATCAAACGAAAGAAACGAACGTATATGTTTAGAAATTTAGTCATTTTATTACAGTAAGCAGATTAACAGATTCTACGTACATGTTTAGAAATTCAGTCATTTTTATTACAATAAGCAGATTAACACAGACTCAATTAAGATTTCAAAAACGGATTCATATGCTTCCGTTTTAGTTCAGGATCCTTCAGTTTATCTTAGTATTTTAGTTCAGTAGTTGAAACTGTTGGTCCACTTCCTTCGGAACAAAAATAATTCGAAATTTTCGAACTTACAGTACGATAGAGCGGGGATTCTCTCGGAAAGTTAAGGAGTGTACTGTACCTATTTATTGTACACAAAATTTCAAACTTGAAATGGTCAGTCGCTTTGTTTAATAAAATAAAATGACCAGAATGTTCGCGTCATTAAGGGCTTTCCTCTCGAGAATTATTGCGTGACGAGCGTCTCCTTGGTTGTTAGAGCTTCATTTTTGCCCAACATCATTTTTCAATAAAAACAGAAATGAGTGCAGCAATTCGAATACACGCGTCTAAAAATAATAAAATAAAGCTTCGTATCATCTCATAACCCGAACGATATCCTAGCCTTCCGCAGCCTCGACCGTATAGGCGACAAAGAAGTCTTGGCGCGACTCTTTTGCGCAGAAATATTCCTGAATCTCGCGTGATAATTCTTCACTTCGTCGTAAGGCGAATGCGAGCGCTTCTTGAGTGACCTGGCCGGCACGTGCAACCCAGACGGGTTCCTGATGATGGGAACACTCGGCCGTCCGCCAACAGTCGGCAACACTACCCGGCGTCCCTTGCTGCTTCTGCTGCGCCGGCGACGCCTCACCATCGCCGACGCTTGGCGGCTGGCTCGCGAACTCAGTCCAGCTCGCGAACGGCGGCCATACGGGTTCTTTTCCGTTTTCGAGCCAGCTCGAGATGCCCTACGCTTGTACGTGATGGTGTGTGTTTGTCGAGCAGGAGGTGGTAGTTCGTTGATGGGTAGGTGGACTGGGTCCACGCGATACCGGGGACGAACCATGGTGCTGGACATGAATTCAGGGTCGCCTCCAGCTGTGATTCTCTGGTTTCTCATGAAACGGTCGCCTATAGAAAAACGAAATAAGAGCTGTGTCGTGAAAAAACCTGCGAATTTCGTTTCAACGTACATACGCCAGATAATTAATACCGAAAAATACAGTCGAAGCTTGATAACTCGAAGCTCTTTATTGAATCGAATAGCTGCATGTGTCGGATTTTTCTTTTATGTCCCGGTCTCGGTCTGAATTCTCTCGGAAACAATGCCATTAAAAGCCTCTCTAACTCGAAGGCTTTCCCCCTCCAACCTCCAGAATAACTCGAATTATCCGATGGCCTTTTGGCTATTATTTTTGTAGCCATCAAGGAAAGAAAAAGGCAATAGGATTGTAACTTGATGCTTTTTCAACAGGAAGGATAAGACTAAACAGGCAAATGAACCCACGCAAGTTCAGCATCCTGCCAACTCATTCACAAAGCAGTTTTGAATTTAAGTATATCACCGATGTCCATTTTAATTACCATTCTTACTTAATCGAGGAAAAAATGGTACTTACAACTCGTTATTCCCTAAGTCAACTTTTATTGCTGGTATTGTACCTTAGATTTGGAGCTTCAACTGTACTAAGTATACAGCAAAATTTCAATGTCGAACACTGTTACACGTCTTGAACGACTAACTTCCACAGAAACATTGATTTAGAATGAAAATGCTTTCATTTAGCGTATGAAGGAGGCTGAAAGATATGCCGCGTCATTTAGCTATAGCCCTCGCGTAAGAAAACACTGTCAAAAAGTCAGCTCAATCTTTCTTATTGATATATGGTTGAAAGCGTTCACATGACGGTTGTCGTATTTTCTCGCGATTTTCATTAATTTTCACTCAGCGACAAGTCGAACAAATATTCAATCAAATGATTGATTTAAGATGCCTCGGTATCTTAAATCAACCGAGTTTGGGAATCACGAGCAGGAAAAGAGTGAAAATATTTTCGCGAGAATAAGTACACAATAAAAAAGAATGAATAACTTCTAAAAATAATCTCTCCGAGATCATAGGATCAAAAGAAGAAATGAGCACTATAGTCAAGAGACGTTATGTAATCTTTTCCCACAGTAAGCACCAAGCAACTGTAATAACCTTTGAGGACTGGACGTCCGGACCCTTCCATGGACATGCGTGCTGATTTGTAAAGAAGATCAATGGCGCTAATTATGAACACCGTCGTGCCATACGCGAGCGTGACAAACATCAGACTGTACAAGACCCAGTTGAGCCGTTCTATTCCTTTGATGGTGGTCTCCAAGGGTCGGCACTCATCAGCCATGTGGCACAACATGGACAGGGCTCCAAAGAAAGTCCAGAAGGACATTGAGAAAAATAACGCGGTCTTCCTCAGCGCTAAATACTGACGAGCTGATATAAAGAAAGAACTATCAGGTCACATATGAGAGGAGGGCCACAATCACGACTGACATTAATACTGGAATTAATTCTCTATTTGGTCGTATCAACCATAAAACACGTCAAAGCCGTAATTGCGCTCAATTCCATGCGTAGATCATTTCGTTTCATTAAAACTACACTTGATCACGAAACAGGACATGTCTTATTACTCTTATAGCTTTAAGATTCGGGAGTACGTGTAATTAGAAGCCCGAATTAAAGTAGTTCCTCAAAAAATCATGAATATACTGTACCTCCATCTCTTCCTAAAAGTGCTCCGAATCTCCTCCATACTGACAAATTCAAGTGTTTCGCAGCCTCGAATCCCTCTTTCAAGGAATTCCTCACTTGCTTCAGAGGGTACGAATTCCTCACCGACCTTCGTTTGACTGACGATCGTCGACGAGAAGACGACCTTCGTCGCGACGACATTTTTGAGAAATCAGGAGTTAGACCCCGTAAATCGTTTCATAAAATTGGAAAAATCCTGTCCAGACGTTATGCCCGGTAACTCGAGCCCATGTTTGACAAGTATATCTTTAATCAGGACTGTAAGGAATATGTACTCGATAAAACACATGACATCAATTGATTAACCATGAATATGGAGTGTAAAAAGAGTAAACGATACTCTTTACGTGATAGAAAATTATAAATACTCTGAATATGCATCAGTCGTGAAGATGAACGAAACCTTTACTGGGTTCAGCCATACAAATAGCAACAATATACACATTCCCCATTTACGGTATAAGAATTTCATGGCTTACTCATTACTGCATGTATAGGATGACTTTGCTTAAATTGATCATCCATTCGCGGACGGGGCGAAGGAGATCAAAGAAAAACACACTTCTGTAAGAAATTCCACTTGAATAAAAAATCTTCCAACTTGATTCGAACCCGCGTAGATTTCTTCGAACAGATTTGCCAATTTGAACATAAGTTCAGAAACGCAAAGAAAAAGTATTACAGTACTTCATGCCATCATGGCAACATAATGTTGATCATGTGTAATCGCATGATGTAAAAGTTGGGAAATACAAGGCGAAAACGTCGATGAAACTCGGAAAATTATCCGCATTCCGGATTTTTACTCCTCTAGAGAAAATAATCGCGACGTACGAAACCCATCCCATGTAATCCACCGTTGTTTCCCCATCATGCAATTACTTCAGATACACGTCATACAACTGCAACTCATGCCGACGGAATGCGATTTTGACATGCATAACAGGATCTCAGGAAGGTCTTCGGAATATGCACAACATGATGCGTAGACATTCACCACCTACGTGTCACCCACACATCGTGGTGCACAAGCGATCAACGCAGGGAGGAGTTGTAATTCCCAGCATGGTCGCCGCCATATTCGTATTAGTCATGCGTCGCCATAGTTTTTTTTAGTACAGTTTCAAAACAGATTTTTACAGGAAACTCAGATATTTCGATCATTGCAGGATGTCGGTCGAAATAGCCAGACATCGAGTAATCGAACGAAATGGTCCAAAGTGAGGGTGGGTGCATATTGATGAGGAAACCACGTACTACATATCACGCAGCATCCTTCGTTATGCTGTGTTGAGGTCCGGCATGAGAGCACGCAGTTGTTCAAAGCCACGATAAATGTTATCCGACTGCGCGACTTCCTGTATTTCTTACGCAGAACTGTCGAAGTGCTCCGCTTTTGTGAAGAACAGTGATAATTGCAGATCGAGATTGAAAAGCAAATACTGTATTCTCTTTCATTGGAAAAACGGTTTGCCACACTTTTCGCTCTATATTGCTCACAAGTTGCGCTGAGGGATTTAAAATCATGGACGACGTGAACTTGTATGAAATAGGATTAGATCTGTTCGAGAGCGATTCAGCGCCCGGTGAGTCTTCCTTCGTGTCTATGATTGATCTGATATCGTCCATTGATGATTTATGACGGTTCGTCTTTAAGGAGATAAACTGGCGAGCGAGGCTCTTGCAGATGCGGTCGTTTTCGAAGATTTCCTAAACCGCACATGTTCTTATTGCTTCAGAAAGCTTTCGTTCAAGTTTCCATCCAAGATGTGTGCGAACTGCGCTTGCGTAAGTTTCTTTTTGTGCGTAGGTTATTTCCTGCTATCAATCCGGAGTTCGTACGATTGTCTCACCTTTCAAAATTTAGGTGAAATATTGCTCTCGAGGTTGTCGTGAGAATGGAGAGCTATGGCATAAGTACGAATGCGCCTTCTTATCGGTGATAAGCGATGGATCTGGAAATTTTTTCCAGCACTCAACATTTTACAATTCCGAAGGACTGAGCGTGTCTGCTAAATTCTTTCTACAAGCTTGTCTGAGGCTAACTTTGCGGCGGCTCGCTTACGTTATGACGGGTTATTGTTCGAAACCCGTGCAGGATCTGCCCCTGCTGTCCGTTTTCCAGGACAACGAAAATGATGGGGTGTTTATGATGGAAACAGGAAGAAACGATTTGTTTCATTCACTCATTGAAAGGCTTGGCCTGGTTCTGCATCGACTTGTGATGTTTTTAATGGACTCGGCCACACCCACTTGCCCTATCTTTGCGCGACTTGGCTACGGATGGCTCCATTTTACTCTGCGCGAACAGCTGAATTATGTACTCAAACAAGTAAGATTCTTTTGAATTTTTTAGTTCTTTCAACGTAAGATGTGCGATCTTCTAGAATATATGGGAAATGGGACTTGAGGCTTTCTCTGAGAAAATGTCCGGAGGCCAATTCTGATGAGAACACGATGAATTGTATGAGTTAAGGTTTACCTTCTTAAGTCGTTAAGGTTTACCTTCTTAATTCATGAAGAGAGCTGTTCTCTAGTTCTCTTGTCACATCAGCGGTGTGAGTTGCATATAGGTCTGAAAGCGGACAATCGTTAATATAAGGCAGCACAGAATCAAATATTGTGATTTTGATAGTTCCTGAATTTACCGCCGTTTGCTGCATTTGTCAGATCCTCGTTTTCACAGTCCAGTACTGTATGACTGCGCAATTTTCATTTTTTAGTGCGTCAATCTGTGCAATGATGAACTGTGTGGTTCATGGGCGTTTCCATTTGCACCGCGAATCACTGCCCTCGGGCAGCCGACGACAATTGGTCTTGCGATTTGCACTGGGATCAGCAAGTTGCCGCGATCGTGTGATCCCAATACCATGATGATCAGATCAGCGCGACAAGTTGAGCTGTTTGCCGTTAAGCCGATCAAGGCAGGGACGCAAAGGACACGTCTCGGACTCTGTGGGCATTACCTTTTTAATTGCCTCGCGGAAAGAACAAGTTTTTTTGAATGCATCGGGATTAAATGTTCCTGCGCACCTTGCTTGGGTACTTGGCCCACGTTGCCTCTCCTCCAGGTCAGTTGAATAACTTTTGCAGTATCAATTGATACATTTTCTTCATCAATTCAAGCGTAATTATACTATATACTTCGTATGAACGAATTTTTTCTTGCGGTTTTATTATGTTCAGAGCATACAGTACTTTCGTCGTGTGCACCATTTTGTCCGTCGTCAGCAGCATATTCTGTCACGTGTCTATACACTGACGTAGATTTTTGTTTCGTTTTTATTTAATCCGAGTTTGTATATATTGATATGCATTCCGTGAGAGTCGACGTCAAATTTTGTTAAATCCTAGATTCCTTTCATCTTGTACGTAATCGGTGATCGGCATGGGTGGAGAATTCCGATTCACCGGTTACAACAAATGAAGTGCCGCTTCAGTGTTCATCGCTTATAGACACGTTTTATTTTATCGCACAAGCTATTTTTTCGTATCCATGAAGATTATTATCTTGAAGCTTTTTTCTTGAATTGAAGATGTTTCCTGTGCGAATTTCGTGTTCGTCGTGTGGTTGCCCATCGAATTTTTCAGCGAAGAAAGTGCCGCAGTTGACTGGGCAGTATTTAATCAATGTCCCGAGGAGTTGCAAGCTATGTGGGGCGTCGTTCGCGGCAATCGCTGAACGTCTCGCTAAAGCAGCTGCAAATGTAAAAGGCGTCGAATTCCCTGATGGCTTTGCTCTGAGAGCATTGGGTGATTTCCTCGTTGCTGCAATTGGATTTGTCCAACTTCCGTGTGCAGTCATCACGTCGGTCGAACTCCAATTGGGATCTGCTTTGCGACGGCAGGTTCTGCTCAAGAGTCTGTGAAACGTGTGGTAGCAAGTGAACAGCTGTTAAAATTTTTTGTACGGTAATTTTTTGAAAGTGCGTGCTTTAGGTTGAGGATTATTTTAGCCGAGATTAATTTTTTGTGGTGCCTGTGCAACGCACGGAGAAGAGTTTTTCAAAGGACGATGAGTGAAGTAAGTATGGAGAAAATTTCCATATTTTAGGTTATATGACATATTGCCTGAAAGGGCAATGAGAGCAGTTTCTGTCGCGAAAGAAGTTCACGCGATTTTTGAAAATGAAAACATGATAATTGAAATGTTCGCCGAAATATTTGAAAGAACAGCAGCTTAATTTTTGAATCTGCATCGGAGTTTTGAAAGACACAGTGAGTTGGGCGTGTGTCTCCGCTTTTTCTCGCTTGAATTTGTGGTACTGTGTTTGTTTCAAAACGAAATTGTCAGAAATGATGGGGGAACTTTGTTTAAAAGATATTTGTACAGTTACACCTTCGGGTCACTGAAAGTGTCAACCTTCGTGCAATCGTTTCTGCTCATTTTTATTTACTTATGTTCTGTGATTTTTTCCGCTGCTGTGTGAAAATTTCATCTTTCGTTTTGTGAAATGATGATTTTTGTTCATTTTTCGAGAAATTAATTTCATTTTTCATTATTGTGGCTCGTTTCTTCTTTTTTTTGTATAAACCGAGTTTTTCCGAGAAGATCTCATCAACTTCGAGTATATACTATTTATCATAACCGGAAAGGACCAGAACTTCTGATGCATCAGCTTCATCTGTGTGAGTGACTCGACGATATGCTGAGCTATTCAAATGTGTCTGTTCATGGTCAGATAGCGTTTGATTGTAATAGACTAATTTATCCTCTTGTATCAATGTAATTCGAAGACCCTGATGGGCGTTGGAAATCTTCTTCGTAAAAAGTTATTTACGCATTTATTTTTATTTCTCAAACGATGAAGACCCAAAGCGGCGTGTTTAGACTTCGGAATGATGAGAAAGTGGATCGAGTTTCACGTAGAATTCTGATGATTCAGGAGGGAATACTTGTGGGACCTGCAAAAAGCGCGGGTTTGTTCATATCACCTTCATGCTTTTGTTAAATGAAAGCAAAGGGCTTCAGCGTTTTTTTTTTTCAATCGAAATGTGGCACATCAAAGAGAAACTGGTGTATGATTTCCCTGATAAGCTACTGCTAAGTTCACATCAATCTATTGGTTTCTTTTAGATTGACGTGCGAGTATTTTGATCTACCAGGACAGGGCGACGCTCAGCCAGTAAAAGAAGTTGAAGATTCCGAACGCCAGTGGGAAGATCAACCTCGAATATCTGTCAATAATCTGTGCCGCCTTCCTCGGAGTGAGTTTCGGACTGTCATCAGAATCATTCTCATCGTCATCGCCATGGACGACGATTTTCGGAGCTGACGAAAGAAACCATTTGCTTTTCCATGACAAATACCCACGCTTGCCCCGTGTTAATTTATTGAGTTCTTGACGTGTTCGCTCCAGGTCCATCCTCGTCTTGTCATCAGTACTTATTCTCGCTTTAGTTGACAGGTTTCGAGCGTCAAGCTGGCCAACATTCGATGTGACGGATAATGACGAATGTACGTTTGAGACTTTCGTGGAGGAGACCCCGTTCCTCGCTGCCAGCGGAGACGTAGAAGAATACAAACTATGTCCTTGTTTGTCGTGAA